AGCATAGCTCTTTCAATTCTTCTTTGGGAGACCTGAATAGCGTTCTCATCTTGTTTGCGTAGGGCCCAGGTCTCTGAGGCGTATGTTAATGCAGGAAGAACAGTGGAATCAAAGAGATGTGCCCAGAGCCGGAGGTTCTTCATCCTCTTAGCTATTTCTTCAACGCTCTTGAAGGTATTCCAAGCTGCTCTGGTGCCAGGTCATTTGTCATGTTGACTTCTCGACCTAGGTACACATAGCTGTTGCATTTGGAGATGGTCGTTCTGTTGAGAGCAAATGGGGCGTCAGGAATGAGGCTGTTTTTCATAAACATTGTCTTCGTAGGATTCAGCTAGTCCGACATTTCAACACTCACGGTTGAAGTCGGCCAGCATTTCTGCCGCTTGGCTGATGTTTGCTGTTATTAAAACAATGTTACCACAATGAGATACCATCTCACACCTCAGAGACTGGCCCAAATTCAAAAGAACAAAAGCAACCGATGCTGGCGTGGATGTGGCGAGAAAGGGACACTCCTTCACTGTTGGTGGGAATGTCCACTGGTTCAGCCCTTCTGGAAAACAGTATGGACGATTCTCAAAAAATTAGAAATTGAGCTCCCATTTGACCCAGCAATACCACTCCTGGGAATATATCCCAGAGAGGCAAAAATGTATAGTCGAAGTGACATCTGCACTTGTTTGTTCATTGCAGCCCTCTTTACAATAGCCAGAAACTGGAAGAAACCTGAATGCCCAAGAACAGATGACTGGTTAAAGAAACTTTGGTACATCTACACAATGGAGTACTATGTAGCTGTTAGAAAAGATGAAGTCATGAAATTTACATACAAGTGGTACAATATGGAAAGTATCATGCTAAGCGAAATGAGTCAGAAAGAGAGGGATAGACATAGAAAGATTGCATTCATCTGGGGGATATAAAGTAACAAAGTATGAGATTAATACCCAAGAATAGCTGAGATCAGCACCAGGAGGATTACTCCATAACTTAGAGGCCAGCCGGGTATCCTAGAGGAAAGGGCTATTCAGATAGAGAAGGGAGCACCAAATAAAGGATGTTTGGAGGATCCTCCCAGGAGGGGAGATGCATGTCGAAAGTAGACTATGGACTGAACATGTTTGCCACTCAATGCCTCTTTTGCAGACCACAACACCCAAAAGGAGAGAGAGAACACAGGGGATTGCCCTGCCACAGAGACGGGGGGATGGGGGGATGGGGGTGGGAGGGATATTATCCATGGTGGTGGAAAATGGGCACTGGTGGAGGGATGGGTATCTGATCATTGTATAATTGAAACCAAAGCACAAAAAATTGTAAATCTACAACTTTAAAAAAAATAAAATAAAATAAAGGGGGAAAAAAAAAAAAAAAAAAACAATGTTGTCAGCAAACCGGAGGTGGTGTAGTTGCCGACCATGTATCTTCACTCCCATTCCTTCCCATTCCATTCGTCGCATGATGTTCCCGAAGGTGGCACTGAAGAGTTTCGGTGAAATGGTATCACCCTGCAGAACCCCTCTCTTGACATCAATGATTACTTCTTTGTAGAATGGTGAGATCCTGGTAGTGAATCCGCAATACAGCTCACGGAGGATCTTGATGTATTGAGCTTGAATGCCCTGATTGGCTAGGGCTTCAATGACCACTTCCATCTCAACAGAATCAAAGGCCTTCTTTAAATCAATGAACGTTAGACAGAGCGGCATCTTGAACTCCCGAGAAACCTCAATGAGCTTGGTTATCATGTGGATTCACATTTCTCATTGTTCTCCTCTTGGAATAGACAGTGTCAACGCCACTCTAAGGATCTAACCCTGAGAATATGTGAAATATGTTTCTAAGACTACCCGGACTGCATATATAACACAGATAAAATCTGGTGTAAATTGTCAAGTTATAAAAGTGGGGCAGTTGAAAACAAGACACCCCAACTTTAACAACCAAACTTAGATAGGTGCCTGTCAAGAGGGAGGTTGGAGGTGGGAAGGAACTGGGAACACTGGAGGAGGGAAGTTGACACTCGTGGTGGGATTGGTGCTGCAATATTGTATTCTAAAAGTCAGCTCTGAATAACTTTGTAAATCAAGGTACTTTAATAAAAAATTAAAAGGAATCTTTGAAAAAGTGGAGAAGTGGAGAACTAATCTTTGTTCTGTGCCCACCCAAGATAAATCCTCCTGAGTCTGTTTCCTTGTTTACGAAAATTACTAGCTTTCAATCTGAGTGGATTGCCTCTTTCTTCAATCTCTTCCTACCCGCTGGGAGTGGGATACTTTCTGTTAGCCCTGAATGTTCAAGTGTTCAACCAACACTTGGGCCATTTCTTACAGTTCCATTCTTTGAATAAGAAATGCTTTTCAACCTTCATCCATGATATTGTTTATTCCCGGAATTGTCATCTCAACCCATCCAATGAATCTTTCCTATTATATATATTCTCCTTTCCCCTTCTTACTGTTTTAATTGACAATTTTTGCTGTTGGAAGCAATAAGAACAGAATTGAAAATGGTGACCAAAGTTATTGTTAGATTGCTCAGTGGGTGTTCATAAGGATAATGTGTTCATACAATGCTTACATATTTTTCATTTCAATATACTTTTTGAGCCTCCTGCCCCCGCGCCTGGCTGTCCTCACCGGGGCCCCTTGGAGGGGAGCGGGTTGAGTTTCCCGCCCCGCCCTGACCAGGACTCTGGCAGCCGAAGACCTCCAGAACCAGCCACCACCATGCTGAGACCACTCTCCACACACACGAAGGTACCGGCAGAGGAACAAAGGCAAGCGGGTTCCAGGGCTGCGATCTCCAAGCCTACTCAGATCGGGGCTGAGCATTCTCCACCCAGATCCTCCAAATTCCAGTAGGCGGGGGTCACACCCACCAACTGGCCCCCTGGGGCCGTGTAATCCCATCAAGGGCCAAGACTCAGAGACTATAAAACGAGCTCCCAGAAGTGTGCGACCATGAATGCGGCCACGCAACATCTTATTATCTCATTCCTACTTTGGACAAACTGGCAAGCTAGGGAATGTAACCTGCCACATGGCAGAGTCTGGCAAACTCCCCGTGGCTTACCCCATATGACAAATACCAGTAACAATGATGGGTCTCATTCTCCTAACTCTGAAAGAGCCTTGAATATGGCACTTTTTTAAAAATCTCAGGGCTAGGATGAAGGAGACTTTACTGGGGCCTGCTCGAGGCAATCGACGAATAACAGGATGGTCGTGACCGTGATATACTTTTTGAGTGATAGCACAGGGGTAGGGCATTTGCCTTGCTGGCCGGTAGCCAGCCCAGTCAAGCTGGGTTCAATTCCTCCCCCCCTCTCGGAGAGCCTGGCAAGCTACCAAGAGTAACTCGCCCTCATGGCAAGCTACTCGTGATGTATTCAATATGCCAAACACAGTAACAAGCAGTCTCAAAATGGAGATGTTACTGGACCCACTCGAGCAAAATTGATGAACAACAGGAGGACAGTGTTTGCTTGTTTGTTTGTTTGTTATACTTTTTGAAATGAATAAAAAAGCTTAGATCAGTGTGGGTATGGTAGCAAATATACTTAAAGGATTACTGCGAATCTGGGGGCCTGGGGGTGGATCCCCCATCCAGCTCAGAAGACCAGTTCAGGCTTTGCTCTCAGGAGTGACTTTGGGCAGTGCTTGTTGGACTGTAGCTGGTTCTGGGAACTGAACTGGAAAACTAGTTCTTATATTTGTATATTAGGAAATTATTTGTATGCCAACACTCATTTGTATGTCAACCTCATACAAGGTGAGCTTCTCGCCACCTATACTATTATCTGGCTCACAGTTTTGAGTAAGGAATTGCAAAGGCTTTTCAGAGGATATCAAGAACCTATTTGAAGTTTATGATCTTGATTTTTAAAGAAAGACTGGGTGGAACGATGTGTATTTTTCTCTGGCTACAGTCAACAGTCAGTATCCACTCTAGAAAAGGTTAGAGAGTTTGGTTTGACTAAGTGTTTACTTTATCTACACTAAATGGATAAGAGTTTTATGTCATGGCTGAGAGTAGTATTTAACCTCAGTCATGACAATGTGAAGATATTTGTAGGATACCCAAGAAAAACTCCAGTAAATGAAGGTAACTCTTCTTACTAGGATAGGGAAGGTAAGAAACTGAAGGGGCAAAAGCAAGAACAGGTGGATAGAAGATGACAGGGACAGGGAACCCGGACACAATCATGGTGTAGAGGTGTTACATAACTATGTATCTGAACACTAGAACCAACAAAACTGAAAGCAGGAGATCCAAAGTACAAAAACCTAACTTTAAAATATGCCTGGCAAGGAGGCAGTGTAGTGGGAGTTGTTGGATAAGGATAGTGGTAGAGGGAAGTTGACACTGGTAACAAAATGCATTAAAAAACTATATGTCTGAAGCTCAGCTATAAATAATGTTGTAAATCTTGGTGCCTCAATAAAAAATTTTAGTAAAAAATTATTCAACCATATTTTTGTTTCCCTCTTTTTTTGTTAACTTAAAGTAAGGAAATCATTGTGTTCTTCTGTTTTTATTAGATATAATAAAATATTGATAGTGCTTTCTTATATTTGTATATTAGGAAATTATTTGTATGCCAACACTCAAAATTAAAATATTTTATGAAACAGTGAAACTTCCTTTTTAAAATATTTTATTGAAATTACATTCCATTACATTGTATATGTTTTAAGAATTCATTTTAAATCAACATTTATAATAACAAAAAAGGTTAAGTACTTATTTTAGTACTAGAATACAAATTATAGCAGTAGAAATATATTTTCCTATTTGACCTGAGATGTGATTCACAATTACTTCCCATATCATTGTTTTATATTGACAAAGCTACTTCACCACTCATCATTACAAAGTAAATAACAATGTCCCTTCTTCCCCCATAAGAACTTTCTTTAGGATAGGAAAGAACTGAATCTTCTTTACTCCAGGTGAAAGGCAAAATCACATAATAAAGTGGAGGATTCTATTGGTAATTCATAACCATTTGGAATTGCCTTTATTTCATTCCAAAATCTCTTTTCTTTCACAATCCTGTCTTGTTAGTAATCCAATCACGATAAGCAGTCACTCGAGTATACACACCTGGTTTATTCTTTTTACCACATCCATCACCCCAGCTTACTATTCCAACAAGAATCCAAATATTTCTAGTGTTATGGTAAGCTAGTGGTCCTCCAGAATCACGCTAGAAGAAAAATGGGAGAAAAAGGTTTGTATTTTAAAGACTTTCTTTTACCTTTCCACTGGAGTTCTCAATAACGATCAGACTGAATAAATCCCAAAAGTGAACTGAAACCAGTCCACTATTTTGGCAGTTGAACTACTAAACTCTTGGATTTTTTTTAAAGCCCAGGTCAACTACAAACTAGAACATAATCTTTACAGCTACCAAATGTTAGATTGGCAAACTAAACTTTGATTTTACAATGAGTTTGACAGTTATGAGGGAGAAAATTACTTGGCTGCTTCATAATGAAGGTTCTAGGAAATAGGTAAAATGATAAGGCTACATTTCCCGCTACATCTTCCAATAGGATAAGAGGAAGTATTCTGTTTTGCAGACTGCAAGAAAATAAGATTCAGGGTTTTTTTTTAATTATTTTGTGAACGTTATATTTTGTAAAGATTCCTAAAGTGTCAACTTCCCACTAAAAACTGCAAAAACTCCATGAGAACAGAAACATTATTCATCACTGGAGTTTCAACAGCTATTCTGGTACCTGATAGACAAAAAGGACTATAAATATTTTATGCAGATGAAATAATAAATTAATTAATTATGATGTAGCTTAGATTTAAAATTCTATTTAATTAAGAAAATGGTTTGATACCACATCTAAACATACCTGACATGCATCAGCACCTCCTGACATAAATCCAGCACACAGCATTTTATCACTCACCAAACCAGATAATGAATTTGGACCATTACAAATTTCGTTGTCAATAATATTCACAAAGGCCTGTTGTAGGGTCACTGGAGAGGGACCTAAAAAAATAGAACTGCACATATTATGGAGATCTTTGTCTTGTGTTTAGGGATCAAAAAAAACTTTATAATAAAACAACATGATATTAAAATCAAAGTAGACATATAGTTCAATGAAATAGATTTGGAATTCCAGTGGAAAGTTCTTACAAGTATAGAAGTTGATTTATAACAAAGGAGCCAATAGCATAAACTGAATGCAATTCTGTTTGGTACAAATAGTGTTAGAAACTAGATGGCCACATGTAAAAGAATAGAACTGACTACTATCCCACACCATGAAAAAAGTTAACTCAAAATTCAAAAAAGACTTGAATGTTAGAACTGAAACCATAAAATGCATAAAAGAAAAACATAGTCAAGCCATTCCATGATATTGGCTTTCCATAATGTCTCTGAGGATTTGACTTCAAAGCATCACTGTCGTGACATATTCGATATGCCAAACACAGTAACAACAAGCCTCACAATGGAGACATTATTCGGCCTGCTCGAGCAAATCAATGAACAACAGGAGAACAGTGCTACAGTGCTACAGTATAGAATATGTTATGACTTCAAAGTATGAAAAACAAAAATTAAAAATAAATGGGATTACATCAAACTCAAAGGTTTTTATACAACAGAAACAAATAAATAATTGGGACTATATCAGTCTAAGAGGCCTGATTGCAATAAAAGTAACACTGTAGCACTGTCTTCCCATTGTTCATCAATTTGCTGGAGCAGGCACCAGTAATGTCTCCATTGTGAGACTTGTTGACTGGTTTGGCATATCGAATATTCCACAGGGAACTTGCTAGGCTCTTTCATGCTGGCGGGATACTCTCGGTAGCTTGCCAGGCTCTCCGAGAGGGACAAAGGAATCGAACCCAGGTCGGCCACGTACAAGGCAAACGCCCTATCTGCTGTGCTATCACTCCATCCCATACATAAAAAAGTAACTTATTGAAAGAAAAAGACATCATACTAAGTTGAAAAAATGTTCTCACATCATACAGTCAAGACATATAAGAGATACATGAAACTTAAGAAAGTACAAAATTAGGAAAGAGCTAAATAGTTATGATATCAAGGACAATATACAGATACCCAACTGGCACATAAAATATTTACTATAAAATTTTCAAGGAAATGCAAATCAAAACAGTAATGAGAAACGCCTTCACATCTGTGAAAACAGCCTTTGTTGTTTTTTTTTCTTAAATTTTTGTTAGTGACACACCAAGAGGTACAGTTGTAGACTTTGGTAGACAAATTTTGGTGCTCGGGTTTCAGTTATACAATGATCGAATACCCATTTCTCCACCAGTGCCCATTCTCCACCACCACTGATCCCAGTATCCCTCCCACCCCCCATCCCACCCTACTTCTGTGGCAGTGCATTCCCTTTTGTTATCTCTCTCCTTTTGATTGCTGTGGTTTTCAAAAAAGACATTGAGTGGCAAACATGTTCGGTCTATAGTCTACCCTCATCACGCATCTCCCATCATGAGAGGAACCTCCCAACACCCTTTATTTGGTGCTCCCTTCTCTATCTGAGCTGCCTTCTCCCCTAGTGTGTGCAGCTGGCCTCAAAGCCATGGAGTAATCCTCCTGGTACTTATCTAGGCTATTCTTGGTTGTTAGTCTCCTATTTTGTTACTTTATGTTCCCCAGATGAATGCAGTATTTCTATGTCTGTCCCTCTTTTTCTGATTCATTTCGCTTAGCATGATACTTTCCATGTAGTACCACTTGTATATGAATTTCATGACTTCATCTTTTCTAACAGCTGCATAGTACTCCATTGTGTAGATGTACCAAAGTTTCTTTAACCAGTCATCTGTTCTCGGGCACTCAACAAGTACAGAGATATGGAGAAAAAGGAACACTCATGTAGTTGGTGGAAGTGTAAATTTGTCCAGTTTATATGGAAAACAGTATGACCATTTACCAAAATATTAAAAATAGAATTAACATGCAACCCAGAAATTCCATTCCTAAATATGTATCTAGAGAGGGGGCTGGAGTGATAGCACAACAGGTAGGGCCTTTGCCTTGCACATAGCCAACCTAGGTTCGATTCCCAGCATCCCATATGGTCTGCTGAGCATCGCCAGGAGTAATTCCTGAGTGTAGAGTCAGGAGTAACCCCTTTGCATTGCAGGATGTGACCCAAAAAGCAAATATATATATATTTACATATGTATGTATGTATGTATGTATGTATCTAGAGAACACTAATCTAAAATGACATAAAGGTAAAAAAAAGGTAAAGGCCCTCCCGTTGATCATCGATTTGCTCGAGCAGGCCCAGTAACATCTCCATTGGAGACTTTGTTGTTACTGTGTCTGGCATATCGAATACTCTCAGTAGCTTGCCGGGCTCTCCGAGAGGGGTGGAGGAATCGAACTCGGGTCAGCCATGTTGGCCACTTGTAAGGCGAACGCCCTACCCACTGTGCTATCGCTCCAGCCAATCTAAAATGACATACTATAGCCAAAATCTGGGAAAGGGGCGGGGGGAGAAACCCAACTGTTCAAGAACAGAAGACTAGATAAGGAAATTGTGCTGCATATACACAATGGAATACTACTAGGCTGTAACGAGAGACTAAATCATGAAATCTGCTACAATTTGGATGGATCTGTATAGTACCATGCTGATGAAGTAAATTAGAAGGAGTGGAACATGTACAAAATGATCTCTCTAATATGTGGGATATAAAAAAGCACAAGAAGGGGGAAACAAATGACCAAAGCCAACATAATCTGAAAACTGATCTGCAGAACTGAACTTTGCATGGTGACAAATGGAGCAGGAAAGGGTGGGCTTGGTAGAAAATGTGGTGTTGAATCATTGTATTCATAAAATACTACCATTAAGAGTTTTGTCAATCATATTGCCTCAAATAATTTACAATAATAAATTTTAATGTTTCTTAATGTCATTCTATACTAAATTGGTCTTTTTCAAATATTTATTATAGCTACTGCCTCACTCCTAACTCCAAATTCTCAGATTAGGTGCAGGGGAGGGGGGTTGTGGGCCATACTCAGCAGTTATCAGGTCTTACTCCTGATTGTGCTCAGGGATAAATTCTAAAGTGCATGGGGAACCATATGCAATGCCCAGGATGGAGCTGAGGTGAGTATATGAAAAGCGAATGCCTTACCTGTATACTATCTCTCTGAACCTCGGATCTTTTTTAGAACCTACAAACAGTGCCATGCTTTATTTGGGAAAGCACTTCATTTGCATTTATGTATTTGCTCATTACTTAATTTCTTAACAGAGTGATTGAGTGTATCATGATTGCCAGGGCACTGCTATATTTGAATAGAGACAAAAGATCTTACCATTCATATAAAGTGCTCCCCATCCTGTGACAGCAACGCTGTCATTTTGGGAGAGTATCATTTCGGCTTCAGGAAGACAAATTCTGCGAATATACTTTGTGAAAGAGACTTCTTCAGCAAGTTCCACAAGGGCAATATCATTAGAAAGTGTTTTCTCGTTATAATCTTCATGCAAAATAGTATTTTTAATTTTCAGTCTCCTAAGAGGTTTATTGACTACAGTTCCAAAGTTGACTGTCCAGTCGTCAAAGTTCTTTATCCTGTTTAGACAGAATTTTATTTAAAAGCAGTTTGAGGGCAACCTCAGTGTTCATAGTGGTCATTATCTTATAATGCACTTAATTTCTTATTTTTTAAATAATTTGAGGTGGGGAAATTAAAGATCTTTTTATCACAGAGGTCCTTTCAAACCAGTCACTAATACATCCTTCTGCTACTTCAGTCTCATATATCTTCTGAGTATTTCCTTGGGTAAAAATCTTTTGATTCTCAGTAGATGGGCCCAAATCACTAGTTGTCATACATATCTTAGAGTCTATGACAGGCTCTGGGCATTTGTGCTCATTTAAAACATTACAACTTATAAAGCTACAGAGATAGTACAAGGCATAAGGCACTTGACTTATATGTGGCTGAACCTGGTTCAGTTCCCAGCACCATCAGAAATGAGCACTCAGCACAGAGTCAGGAATAAGTCCTGAGCAAAATGGGTTTTTGGTCCATTCCCCCATCCCAACACCAGAAATTTCAACATTTTTAATCAATTACCCTTTTCTGTTTACCAAGTCAGTGCATCTCAGCTTCTACTTTAGATTTTACTGACAAGACTCTCCAATAGCTCTGGGACTCTGAATTTAAAGCCTACCGTTTGGTTTAACTTGTCTCACCCTCCCTCAACATGCCATGTTCTATTTTCGTTTGTTTGTTTGATTTTTTTCAGTCTTCAAGATTTTCATATATAACAGTTGTAACTATGATATTTTTAAATATCGTTCCCATTTGAAAACTCCTTAACTCCTCACACTTAAGAGCCATTTAAACTTTTTCCATCAAGGTTAAATGTAATGCTTAAGGATTTAAATGCCTAAAACCACTAGGGACTCCGTGGTCCACAGATAACTTTTGAAAGGCACTTCAGAAAGACAAATCCTATGGATATCCCATGTACAAGAAAATAGAATCGTAAAAATGAGTTCTATAATTTACAAATATCTCCAGTCAACATAATTAAATTTTCTAAGCACAGTTTTTATGTTTCCTTTTACATATTCCCTATTTCAAACTGATCTTTTTGTTTACTGTTTGCAAAATGCATTTTAGATGATCTTGGTTCTATATGTGAAGGACGACGCTGTTTTCCCAACCAGAAATGCAAAGTATGCTTTCTTATCTACTCTTGTCAATCAATTCTTGTATCTTTAGGGTACAGATCAGATCTTACTTTCTTCATACACTAGGCTACTGTGTCTTTTAATCTATCACATTTAAATTCTTCAACTAAATTGCAAACCCCTGACAGATAAAACAAATGAAAAAGTGGTAACTGGAATCAATTTCCTGTTCAAATTGTTGTCATATAAGAATCATACAATTTGGAACAAGTTGCAACCCCATATCAGAACCGTCATTTCTTTATTTTAAATTGGCTCAATAATTCCTTCCGTGCATACTCATTGCTTTGATTAACTAAAATTATGTAAGTAGACTTCTCAGGTCAAAGTAGCTCTTTGGAAAATGTGAGTCCCTCTCATTTTCTTTTTCCAAGTTTAACTTCCTTCTTCCTTCACTTAGACAAACTTTTCAAATGATTTTGGTAAAAACTTCAAACATTTTGTATAATCTTTACAGACTTTCCCAAATAGACTTCCACCCAGAATGCTGCATTTAATCCAAACTTTACACTTACTTATGCAAGCAGTGAGCTGCAGTTAATACCCAACTGCGGCTGATCAGAGATGCTCCACATTTGTGCTGACCTCGCCACTGCAAGCTGGCCTGCCAGGGCCAGGCCCCCGACAGGGCATTTTTCCCTTTAACAATTTTGTTATCTGCTAAACTGTTGACCAGTGGTCTACCACAACCTGTAGAGAAGCAGAAATGATTTGCACTTGTATAAATGCAGATACTTTTTATTATGCTTTAAAAGAAATGTATTTTAAAACGCTGACATCCTCCAATGATCATCTGCTACTTCCTAAATGATGACTTTTTTTTTCTGGAATGTACCTTAAAAATGATGCCCTATTCCAACTTGTGTTAGATGTTTATTATAGACTATTACATACATGTTTTTCCCTGCTTCAAGCATTTTTCAATCATTGTCTTTTATCTATATTAGATAACAAATGCTCTCTCTCCTAGTAGACTGAAATATTTTCCTCAATGGAGACTTTGCTACATTAATGTCTGAATCTTCCAGACATCCCCAATGATGAATAAGTGGATACACCATATTGTAGGTAATATAGTATTTTAAAAGAATGTATTTAAAAACAGAACTTCTTTGTATTTAAATAACTATATCTCATATAGCCTAATTTTGTGCTTTTCTGATTTGCCTATTTATTTATTTCCTTAGTTTTTCCCCTTTTTAGGCCCATACCCAGAGGTTTTCAGGGCCACTCCTGACTGTGCTATGCAGACCACATGCTGTACACTAAATTAAATCTACATGAAAGTAGCCTCTGTAATATGTTTCCAACCCAATATTTCTTATTTTAACTTATTCAAAACAATATTCTTCATTGATGATTGTATTCTTGGAAAACAATTTATTTTATGATTTAAGCCAATTCCTTACAAATGTTAAAATTCCTAGGCAAGGTGTTCAAAATAAAATTTTAAATAGAGGCTAGATCTTAGAAGTTCTTGTCACAAAGAATATTAGATCTTAGAAGTTCTTATCACAAAGGAGATTAGATCTTAAAAGTTCTTATCACAAACCATCATAACTGTGTGGTGACACATATTAATTAGACTTGTTATATTGATTATTTTGTAATTTAAATATTAAATAATTATGTGATATTACTGAAACAAATATAATGTTATATGTGACAAATTGTCAGTTAAAAAATTTAGATAGATATCTGACATTTCTAATTATTTTGGAAAAGTTTTTATTTCACTTCTTATTCACTTAGTTTTTATTATTTATTTATATATGATATACTTTAAGACCCTTTTAAAAATGATATAGAAATATTTACTAATAATATAATAATGTTTTTCAACTTACAGTTGTTGGTAAGCAATTCAGCATCAGCCTTGCTAATTTCTGAAATTTAAAAAATATATGAAATTCATAAAGCATCACCAAGCAATTATCTTTAACTCAAGAATATAAATACCAACTTTTGTTAAGTCATTCATTATAACTGACATTTAACTACTAAAACTAGTTTATTATTGATTATTAACTCCTCTCACTCCTGCTTGTTATGCATTTGACCATTACTGTCTATCTTTATAAGATAGTAGAAGTAAAAAGAAAAGGAAAATATTAATGCTTTCAATTTTATAATAGTAGTAGAACATGAGGTAAAAAAAAACTGGCACTTTAGAAAAAAGAGAGTTGGCTGTCTTTTTTTTCCATATGAGTATCCTTATTTTGAAATACTGAGAATTATCTATATTTTAAGGGGAAAAATACCCAATTTTTTTTTTGCTTTCTTGGGTCACACCCAGAAGTGCTCAGGGGTTACTCCTGACTCTACTCTCAGGAATTACTCCTGGCAGTGCTTGAGAGACCATATAGGATGCCAGGGATTGAACCCAGGTCAGCCGCAAGTAAGGCAAACGCCCTACCCCTCTGTCCTATCTCTCCGGCCTCAAAATATCCAATTTTTGTTCACTGAGTCTATCCTACTCTTCAGAGTAAGCTCTTACTAAAACGTAATTATGAAAATTTGGGAACTTCACTTGAATTCAAAGTTTTTTTTGTCTACTGGAAAATATCATAAATATAAATAAAATAGGAGAGAACAAAGTAAGATACACTAGCAAATACTGACTCAAATAACTGGGACCCAGAGAAATAGTAAAGGGTGCCATCTCCTTCCTCAACAGTTACTCACAAAAGGAACTACACTGATTCTTGAGGAGCTCATTCTGAAACTCCCTTCTCAGTGATAGCCTGTTGGTGCCAAGACATATTTTGAGTTAAAGTCCTTTTTATGATTAAAATGATAAACAGCTGTTAACTAACATAAAAACAGTAGAATCATTTGTCCATCAGGAAGACACAAAACTGGACTCTGGAACTGCATGCTTTTCACCTAAAAGACTTTTAAGCAATTTAAGTGAAAGTTTTTTAAACAATGATTTGAGGATACAGTCCCTCCTACTACCAACCCACTGAGAGGAGTATCAATATTTGGGATGCATATATTTTCCTAAGCAAATTCTAGAGATTTTTGGTTAATTTTTATAAAACATTAGTTTTCAATAGTCCCGAAATGTAAACAATACAAAATAATGCAAATAAATAAAATACCTATAAGTTTAATGGAAGTGGGAACCACATGCCAGGATGCCATGTTGTCCTTTAACATCTGACGTAAGATGTCTTCGATTTCTGTCTTCCTGATATTCTTCTTTGCAGGAGGAAACTTGAATACCAACTCTAACTGTACATTCGAACCATTGCCATGAGGACTAGAAACAACGGAAGTGTTCTTATATACTACCTTTCTTATATGCTTGGGGAACACATAGAATTTTCAAATTTCAGCTTGGCTTTGTACATGTTAAAAATAATATGCAGATCTTACACCTGTATTTATAGGGTATAGATATTTCTAAAAATCATCAAATTGGTTCAGAGATATTGCTATTAGAACATAATGTGAACCAAAAACTAGAAACTTGAAAATCTTGATTTATAATCCATATATACCTGAAAACTGTATGTTTCAGAATATTGTAATGCAATATTTTTACCTTCATAAACTTCAATGGGCTGGAGCAATAGCACAGCGGTAGGGCGTTTGCCTTGCACGCAGCCAACATGGCCAACCCGAGTTCGATTCCTCCGCCCCTCTCGGAGAGCCCAGCAAGCTACCGAGAGTATCTCGCCCGCACGGCAGAGCCTGGCAAGCTCCCCGTGATGTATTCGATATGCCAAATACAGTAACAACAAAATCTCCAATGGAGATGTTACTGGGCCCGCTCGAGCAAATCGAGCAGACTTCAATAAAATTTTAATTAAAAATTGGGGCCGGAGTGATAGCACAGTGGGTAGGGCATTTGCCTCGCATGCGGCAGATCTGGGTTCAATTCCCAGCATCCCATATGGTCCCTTGAGCACCAGCAGGGGTAATTCCTGAGTGCAGAGCTAGGAGTAACCCCTGTGTATTGCCGGATGTGACCCAAAAAGCAAAACAAACAAACAAACAAATAAATAGATAAATAAATAAATAAATAAATAAATAAAAATAAACTAAGCATGAAAGGCAGCTCAGATCGAGAAGGGCCCACCAAGTAAAGGGTGCTAGGAGGGTCCGCTCAGGAAAGGAGATGCGGGCTGAAAGTAACTATGGATCGAACATGATGGCTTCTTAATACCTCTACTGAAAACCACAGCACCCAAAAGGAGAGAGAGCAAAAGGGAATGCCCTGCCACAGAGGCAGGGTGGGGTGGAGGGGACGGAGTGGGGATGGTGGGAGGGATGCTGGGACCATTGGTGGTGGAAAATTGGCACTGGTGGAGGGATAGGTATTCGAGTATTGTATGAACTGAAATGCAAGCATGAAAGTTTGTATGTCTGTAACTGTACCTCACGGTGATTCACTAATAAAATTTTTTAATAAAATAAAAATAAATTTTAAAATAATAATAATAATAATTATAAACTAAGCAGCATGTACTAGATGGTTAGCATGAGGTTAAATTTTATTTAGTAGGTAAGGCATTCTCTCGTGCTCAGGAGGACCACATGGTTCTCAGGATTGAACCCAGTGCTTCCACATGCAGACCATGCACTCCAGCCCATTACATAGGCTCCCTGCCTTGAACTTAAGATTCTATTACAATTAAAACTAGTGTTTTCATACAGGAGTTTGGTTTGGTTAGTAGGGTTTGAGGGAGGGAGGTTTGGGAAGTTAATGTACTAATGTACTTTCAGTATTTTATAAGTTTCATATACACCACTAAGATATATATTTAGCACCTCATCACTTTTTGATGACTTAATTTTATAAGAGATATAAATAAGAATTTAAATACAATACTGAAAAGCAGTCAAAAGAAACTTTCAGTACTTAGTTGTGAACAAGTGCTATGTAGTTTTCTAAAATTAAGTGTATTTACCCCTATAGATCTGTACAATGAAAATGCTACAAAACATGGAGAGATTTGTGATTAGCCGTATATTAATTGTTCTCTTTTCATTAGTGAGAAAATGCTATTTTGTTGGAACATCATGTAACTGAAAACTAATCATGAAAAACTTTGTGTATCTCACAGTGATTCAATAAAAAATAATAATTTTTTTAATTTTAAAAAGAAAATGCTATTTATTTCAGAAGACTTCAAAGAAAAGTCATATTGATCACAACTTTAGCAACAATCTCCCAACTGTTTTCAAATATTTACATTAAACTAGAGAAAATTTGGATTTTTTGTTTTTATTTTTGTTTTGAAACACCTAATGGTGTTTAGGGCTTATCCTTGGCCCTGTACTCAGGGATCACTCATGGAGTGCCTCAGGGGAAATTATAGGATGCTGGGTATCAAACCAAGGTTGGCAGCATGCATAGCAAGTGGCCTGACCGCTGTACTATCTCTCTAGCGCCAACTAAAGGATTTTTGAAGGCTTTTGGTTAGTCTATAAGAATGGCAGAAGAGGTTACTAGTATATGAATAGAAAAATAACCAGATTAAACTTCTTGTTTCTCATAGAATAACAATTACCTTTTTCATAAAGGTCAGTTAGGTCTAATTATGTGTGATAATCTGATAATTATGTCTGATATTCTTACAAACTTAGACTTGTGTATAGCAGTTTTCACTCTAACCATAAATATATTAAATATAATCATATTTTAATTTGGGGCTGGAGCGATAACACAGCAGGTAAGGCATTTGCCTTGCATGCGACCAACCCAGGTTTGATTCCCGACATCCCATATGGTCCCCTGGCATTGCCAGGAATAATTCCTGAGTGCAGAACTAGGATTAATCCCTGTTCATGGCCGGGTGTGACCCAAAGAGCAAATAATAATAATAAAATAGTAATAATATTTTACTGGGCTGGAGTAATGAGATTTGGAGATGACCGCTGGACTAGAGCCGTTACCGACTGGATTCTATGGGATGTCAAAAGATTGCGTGGCCGCCCACCTACGAGATGGTCAGACTTCTTCATCAAGACCCTGAACAATCAGGGTCTTCATGTTTGAGGCTTTTCATGTTTCTAGAATGAACAGACGCCTTTGGGCTACACTAGCACACAATAGGGATAAATGGAGATGTTATTGGCACCCGCTCGAGCAAATTGTTGAGTAATGGGATGTCAAGTTATCAATAATATTTTAATTCATGTTATAAAATGTTGTCTTTATTTCTTCCTCAGTCCATTCTCATCTTTATCTTTTTCTTTCTGTTTTATATATAGTTGTTATTTACAACCAGGTTTTAGCTATTATCTGCATTCTTTCCTTGACATCGAGATTCATATTCCACTGCACATGGATATATGGGTATGTATATTTAATATTTACTTTATCCAATCATCTCTTGATAGTAATTTAAGCTGTTTTTCTATCTTTGCTATTATAATACTCCAACTGATAGTCCATTACTGTTTGCAAGTATTGTTTTTCTAATCTTTAATGAAATGTGAGGTAAGTAGATTGAGTAGAATTTATATTCTTGATTTTCTTTTATTCCTAAACTCAGAAGTAACCAGTGATACCTGGTAACCAATGATACCTGATCGACTGGGTCAGTGGTTCAGCGCTGTTCCCAAGGTTTAGGTGTTCCTTGAGCCTTGTATTGAGGGGTACCAACAAGACTATTCCTAGTGGTTCTTAGAGGCCCCAGGATGACATCTACAGATGATCAGGAGGTCATCCATGGGGAATAGAAGTGGGATGGGTTCACAATGCTGTCCCTACCACAGCAAGGGTTTATTTTAGGAATATTGTTGTCCATAATGTCCATAATGGCTACAGCAATTTATATCTCACCAACAGTAAACAAAGGTTTATTTGCTCAACATTCTCTCCAACATTCATCCACTGTATTTTTGACAATAGCTGTTCTTACAAGAGTTTTTATCATTGCTGTTTTGACTTGTATTTCCCTAAGAAGATGTGATGGTCTCTTTCATTTGCCTGTTGCCATCTGTCTATCCTCTATAGAAAAGTGTCTATTGAGATTCTCTACTCATTTTATGGTCCTATTATTCTATTTGAGTTGAGTTCTAGACCCAGGTATGAAAATCAGATGGGCCGGACACAGACACGTTATGCAATTTGGATACAGCTGCTGGACTACCGACTGGATTCCATGAATCACCAAAAGGACATGTGGCCAACCACCTATGAGATGGTCAGACTTCTTCATCAAGACCCGGAATGAATGGTTTGATGGGCTACACTAGCACATGAAAGGGACAAATGGAGACATTACTGGGTCCCACTCAAGCAAATCATGAGTAACGGGATGACAAGTGATACACGCTGTGCTAGTGCTCCCACTCCAGGACATATATTGTTTTGACGCAAGATTACTGGTAGGAAGCTTTTTAGCAGAAAAAATACTATTGAGCTTTTAAAAAGTAAAATCCTTTGGTCATAAAAATAGTACAAGGGCTAAGATGCCTCCCTGGCATGCAGCTGACCCTGGTTCAATCCCCAATATTGAAAATGGTCCCCAAGCACAAAGTCAGAGCTGAGCACCACTTGGTGAGGCCTCAAACTAAAGCAAAACAAAAACCTACCCGAAGGGTGCCAGCTAAAAGAGACCCCAACAAAAACACTCCAAGGCATATCAAAGTTAGAATGATTGATGCTGCTGATAGAGACACAATAATGCAAGCAGCAAGGGCAAAGAAGGAAATCACATACAAAGGAGCACCCCTTAGATTCACAGCAGACCTATCAGAGGAAACCCTGCAAGCCCGAAGGCAGTGGCAAGATATAGTCAAAAAACTCACTGAAATGAATGCTTCACCAAGAATACTCTATCCGGCTAAACTCTCCCTCAAAATCAAAGGAACAGTACACTATTTTCTAGATAAACAGCAGCTCAGGAACTTCATAGACTCAAAACCAAACCTAAAGCAAGGTCTAAAAGGGCTACTATAAGACAAGACAAACCCTACAACCACAACACACCCTGCAGAAAATGACACAAAACCACATAACCATACTCTCTCTCAATGTCAATGGTCTAAATTCACCATTTAAGAGACACAGAGTGGCAAAATGGATACAGAGACAGAACCTAACATTCTGCTGCCTACAAGAAACTCATCTCAACAGCCAGAACAAACACAGACTCAAAGTCAAAGGATGGAAAACAATCCTGCAAGCAAACAGCTCCTTCAAAAAAGCTGTGGTGGCCATACTAGTATCCGACAACATTAATTTCACATTGAAAAAGATTAGAAGGGACAGTGAAGGCTATTTTCTCTTCATCAAGGGATACATACAGCAGGAAGAAATCACACTCTTAAATGTATACGCACCTAATGAGGGAACAGCTAAATATCTAAAAAACTGCTAACAGATTTTAAGGAGGACATCGCTACCAACACAATAGTACTTGGAGACTTCAACATTGCCTTATCAACTTTGGATAGATCAACAAGAACAAAACCCAGCAAGGAATTATTGGCTTTGAAAGAAGAAATAGAAGAGAAAGGGCTTATAGACCTATACAGGGCTTTACACCCCCAAAAGAAAGAATACACATTCTTCTCCAGTGCGCACGGAACATTTTCCAAAATAGACCATGTCCTAGGACACAAAACATACCTCAACAGAATCTGGAAGATAGAAATAGTATCAGCCATCTTTTCAGACCATGATGCACTGAGGATAGAAGTGAATCACACACTGACACGGAGAACAAAATCAAACACCTGGAAATTAAACAACTCGATGCTGAACAATGAGTGGGTCAAGAACGAAGTCAAGGACAAAATCAAAAGATACCTGGAAACAAATGAGAATGAAGACACAAACTACCAGAACTTATGGGATGCAGCGAAAGCTGTATTAAGGGGAAAATTTATAGCTCTGCAAGCATATCTTAGGACTGTAGAAACGATGCACATAAACAACTTGACCTCACAGCTCAAGACCTTAGAAAAGGATCAACAGAAAGAGCCTAAATCAGGCAGAAGGAAAGAGATCATAAAACTTAGAGCAAAATCAACGACATGGAAAACAAAGAAACAATCCGAAAGATCAATAAAACCAAGAGCTGGTTCTTCGAGAAAATAAATAAGATAGATAAACCACTAGCAACACTCACAAAGAAACAGAGAGAGACAGCCTTAATAAATCGAATCAGAAATAAGAATGGGGATATCACAACAGAAACTAAATAAATTCAAGAGATCATCAGAGACTACTTTGAAAGTCTGTATGCCACGAAACAAGAGAACCTAGAAGAAATGGATAAATTCCTGGATTCCTATCATCTCCCAAAGCTGAAGCAAGAAGATATAGAGTACCTGAATAGACCTATTACATCAAGGAAATTGAAACTGTAATCAAAAGTCTTCCCAAAAACAAAAGCCCAGGTCCAGATGGATTTACTAGTGAATTTTTCCAATCATTTAAAGAGGACCTATTGCCAGTTCTTCTCAAGATTTTCCAGGAAATTGAAAAAACGGAAACTCTCCCAAACAGTTTCTATGAAGCCCATATCTCTCTAATGCCAAAAGGAAACAAAGGCACCACAAGAAAAGAAAACTACAGGCCGATATCCCTGATGAACACGGATGCGAAGATTCTCAACAAAATACTAGCCAATAGAATTCAACAACTCATCAAAAAGATCATACATCATGACCAAGTAGGATTCATCCCAGGGATGCAAGGATGGTTCAACATTCAGAAATCAATCAACATAATCCATCATATCAACAAAAGAAAAGATAAAAATCATATGATCATATCAATAGATGCAGAGAAAGCATTTGACAAGATCCAGCACCCATTCATGATGAAAACCCTTGCCAAAATGGGGATAGAGGGGACTTTCCTCAATATAGTTAAAGCCATCTACCACAAACCTACAGCAAACATCAACCTCAATGGGGAAAAACTGAGAGCCTTCCCCCTAAGGTCAGGGACGAGACAAGGATGCCCACTCTCTCCACTGCTGTTCAATATAGTACTGGAAGTACTTGCAATAGCGATTAGGCAAGAAAAAGATATTAAGGGCATCCAGATAGGGAAAGAAGAAATTAAGCTCTCACTATTCGCAGATGACATGATACTATACTTAGAGAACCCTAAAACCTCTACCAAGAAACTCCTAGAAACAATAGGCTTGTATAGTAAAGTGGCAGGCTATAAAATCAATACCCAAAAATCCATGACTTTCCTATATGCAAATAGTGAAAGAGAAGAAAGTGACATGAAGAAAACAATTCCATTCACAATTGTGCCCCAGAAAATCAAGTACCTAGGAATTGCCTTAACTAAGGAAGCAAAGGATCTGTACAAAGAAAACTACAAAACGCTACTTCGGGAAATAAAAGAGGACACGAGGAAATGGAAAAATATCCCCTGTTCATGGATGGGGAGAATCAACATTGTCAAAATGGCAATACTTCCCAAGGCACTGTACAAATTCAATGCAATCCCTATAAGGATACCCACGACATTCTTCAAAGAAATGGAGCAAACACTCCTGAAATTTATATGGAACAATAAGCCCCCACGAATAGCTAAAGCAATTCTTGGCAAAAGAAAATGGGAGGAATCAACCTACCTAACTTCAAGCTCTACTACAAAGCAGTAATAATCAAAACAGCATGGTACTGGAACAAAGGCAGAGTTGCAGACCAATGGAACAGAGTTGAATATACTGACATCTCCTCCCAAACATATAATCATCTACTCTTCGATAAGGGGGCAAGAAAAGTGAAATGGAGCAGGGAAAGCCTCTTTAATAAATTGTGCTGGCAAAACTGGACAGCTACATGCAAAAAAGTGGGCTCAGATCTCTGCCTAACGCCATGCACAAAAGTAAGATCTAAATGGATTTATGACCTCAACATCAGACCGGAATCCATAATGTTTATTGAAGACAAAGTTGGCAAAACTCTCCACGATATTGAAGTTAGTGGTATCTTCAAAGATGTCACGCCACTGGCCGAGCAAGTGAAAACAGAGATAGGCAAATGGGACTATCTTAAACTAAGAAGCTTCTGCACCTCAAAAGAAACAGTGACCAAAATACAAAGACAGCCTACAGAATGGGAAAGAATATTCACCAAATACACATCTGACAAGGGGTTGATATCAAGGATATACAAGGTACTGGTTAAACTACACAAGAAGAAATCACCCAACCCCATCAAAAAATGGGGCGAGGAAATGAACAGAAACTTTCGCAAAGAAGAAATCCGAATGGCAAAAAGGCACATGAGAAAATGCTCTACATCACTAATCATCAGAGAGATGCAGATCAAAACAACAATGAGATATCATTTCACACCACAGAGACTGGCCCACATCCACAAGAACAAAAGCAACCGGTGCTGGCGCGGATGTGGCGAGAAAGGGACCCTCCTTCACTGCTGGTGGGAATGCAGGCTGGTCCAACCCTTTTGGAAAACAGTATGGACGATTCTCAAAAAATTAGAATTTGATCTCCCATTTGACCCAGCTATAGCACTCCCGGGAATATATCCCAGAGAGGCAAAAAGGTATAGTCGAAGTGACATCTGCAATTGTTTGTTCATTGCAGCACTCTTTACAATAGCCAGAATCTGGAAAAAACCTAAGTGCCCGAGAACAGATGACTGGTTAAAGAAACTTTGGTACATTTACACAATGGAGTACTATGTAGCTGTTAGAAAAGATGAAGTTATGAAATTTACATACAAGTGGTACTACATGGAAAGTATCATGTTAAGCGAAATGAGTCAGAAAGAGCGGGATAGACACAGAAAGATTGCATTCATCTGGGGAACAGAAAGCAACAAAACGGGAGACTAACACCCAGGAATGGCTGAGATTAGTACCAGGAATTTTGCTCCATGACTTGAAGGCCAGCCACATGTGCTAGGTGAAAAGGAAGCTCAGATAGAGAAGAGAGCACCAAATAAAGGGTGTTGTGAAGACCCTCCCAGGGTGGGAGAGACATGCTAAAAGTAGTCTATAGACCAAACATGATTGCCACTCAATGCCTCTCTGGCAAAACACAGTACCCAAAAGAAGAGAGAGAGAAGAAGGGGGAATGCCCTGCCACAGCAGCAGGGTGGGACGGGGGGGGGTGGGGGGTGGGAGGTATGCTAGGACCCGTGGTGGGGGAGGATGGGCACTGGTGGAGGGATGGGCACTTGATCATTGTATAACTGAAACCCAAGCACAAAAATTTATAAGTCTATAAATGTACTTCATGGTGTTTCACTAATAAAAAAAATGATTAAATAAAAAAAACAAAAAAAACAGAAACCTAAAATTCTGCTACTGAAATATCATTAAATGAGCTATCTAAAACAAAATAAATTTTGTTTTTTATTAGTTATTACAAAAAGGGGTGGTAGGAGAGTAAACTGAGACAAAAGGTAACAAACATGGTGGAGAATAAAATTTAGCAGTTAACTTAATATAGAATACACATATATTGATTTTCAATGATGCTTGTCTGAAAATTGTATAACACTATAATGCAGTGCTACATCGGTCATGGTCATGGTCCTCCCATTGTTCATCGATTTGCTTGAGCGGGCCCAGTAACATCTCCTTCATGAGACTTGTTACTGTGTTTGGCATATCGAATACGTCACGGGTAGCTTGCCAGGCTCTGCCGTGCAGACATCAAGTAATTTAAATGTATAAAAGAAAAATCTTAAGTAAATTTGCACTTACAGAAATCTGATGAACTGAGAATTGATATATTCTTTGTATATGCTAGAATTTTGAAATGCATCATATGTCTGTTAAGAGAAAGAAAAATAAAAGGCATGATTTATATTTCATTGCAATTTATAATAAAATTTATTTAAAAAAAATACCAGACTTACTTTGTTTTCAATATCTCTACTCAGCTCTGTACTGGCTTGTGAAGTTGCAGTTTCACAACTAATATTGTATGTGTCTCCGCTAATGAGGAATTCTCCTTGGTAATAGTAATTCTTTCCTATGAAGTAAAAAAAAAATTTAAAAATGTTGAAGTTACCTTAGAACTCTCCATTTCTTGTGTCAGAACTAACAGCAATTGTTTTAGAAATAATTATACAGAGTAAAAATGTAACTACCCCAAATTAACAACTATCCAGCATTAATGAAGTTTTCCTCTTTATTTCTTCCTGTGTTAACAGACATCACTGTGCCACTGAGACCTTGTATGCCCATAGTGCGCTCCCGACAGTAGTGCTGAGAGTCAGTAAAAATTCATCCACGTACACTAGAGATGATGTGCTCTGAGTTCTGAATCAAATGATTAACCAATTCATCTTTCTTTTTTATGAATTAATCTTTTTAAACATTAGACAAGGCATATTAAAATACCATCTTTTATTTTCTAGATGAGCTTCTTGAATCATTTCTGAGGTCCCATTGCCTTCTTGAAACTGTTTCTTGAATTCTTTGTCCTGACTTCTATTTTCCTTCCATGAACTGAATAACTGATGTATGTCACAAGATTTCATATTCTTATTCTCTCATATTTCCAAATGAAAATTATTTCAACTGATACCCTAGGTCACTATGAGTTAAAACTGAAGATGGTTGGAAGTAGTTTTTCCAAAACAAAAACAAAATTTAAAAATTAAAAATTAAAATTAAAAAAAGAAATAGTTATTTCAAATCATATAAATACTCTTAAAATAGAAACTAACATGGAATGGCAACCATTATTTTTTGTTAAGCAATTGGCTATGTGTGTATTTTGCAAGCAATTACATCTTCAATTTACCTTTAAAAAGCAGCATAATTTCTGAGTAGTGCTAATAGGCTTTTAAAAATATAATTAATCTCCTAATTTCCTGGCACCCGAGTCTCCCTCAAGCCAGGCAAGTGCCTTATCTGCTTTATTATCTCTCCCACCCCTGAAGAATTTTTAATGAGACTCTGAAAGGCTAAGGTGAAAAGATACAAAACTGGGGTGTTTGACCATAGATATGGCAGACAGGAAACTGTAAGCATCCCCTACTGAAGATTTTAATTAGGGTGACTGGAAGAAATAAGAGAAAGATGAGGAAGAAAGAAAAACTGGAACTTGCACTGAATCAGACAAAAGTTACCTACACTGCTATTGCACAGGGTAAATATAGTTCAGACTCCTGAAGAATAACGCTCATAAAGCTGTTTTGAAGTAGAATAATACATTGTAAAGCATGATCTTGTGTGGTGCTCTAAATCCCACTTCAAGCCCTGTGATCAATTGAGGAGGCCAAAGAGATAATACAGCAGGCAGGGCATTTGGCTTCCAACAGTTGACCAGGGTTTCATATGAGCACCCCATATGGGCACCCCATATGGGCCCCTGGACCCTGCCAGGAGTGATCCCTGAGTGTAAAACCAGGAGAAAGTCCTGAGCACTTCTGAGTGTGGCCCCAAAACAAAAACAAATAAGCAGTCACTTGGTCTGTGAAAGACAGTGATAGATAAAGCTTGCACTCTGTAGCTCAAATGGTCATTGTGAAGATCACCTAGAATAACATGTCAAATTTCCTTGAACATTAGTTATATGAACTTAAGAGTTTAACTTTTTCTGAAAGAAACAAGTTGGATGACAAAATTTTCTGAGTGTCATATTGTTAATGCTATTATCTGTTTATTGTTATTGTTACAGTTGCTGATGTCTTAATGCCCTTTTTCCACACAGAGGGCCTTTCTCACCATTTTTTTACCATTCCATGCCTGTTTTAGACTCAGGCAAAGGAAAATATTCCATTAAAACTATTAACTACTTCGCAAGCCCACCTGCAGCTTGGAACAAGAAACCTGCAATTTTGTTTCCTGGGCTCAACCCATAGGACCAGATTGATGTACAAAACAATCACTGCATCACTACTGGACAAGCCTCAACGTTAGATGTTAGGTTATTCCTGTCCAGAGACATAGTCTTTGAAAGCTATGCTACTCCTTCATAGATAATGGTAAGAACACGAGTCTGAATTATTTGTCTAACCCCTTGACTTGAAGTGGGGGAAGGGGAGCTGCTTTCAAATTTTAGTTGACAGGACCACAGTTCAGCAGGCCGGGTGCTTGCCTTGCATACAGTACACCTGGGTTTCTTCCCTGGCACGCCATTTTGGTGCCCCCAGCCCACCAGGAGTGATCACTGAGTACAAGAGTAAACCGTTAGCACCATAGAGTGTGGCCCAAATTTAAAAAAAAATAGTTCAGTTGTGTGATTTGCACTGGGTCCTGAGTATGAGCTTACTAAATGGAAAAAATATTCTTGTAGAATTTCTAATAAATGTTTAAAAAGTAAGGATTGCAGCGGTAGCACAGCAGGTAGGGTGTTTGCCTTCCATATGACCGACCCGGTTTTGATTCCCAGCATCCCATATGGTCCCCTGAGCACCACAAGGAGTAATTCCTGAGTGCATGAGCCAGTAGCAACCCCTGTGCATCACTGGGTGTGACCCAAAAAAGCAAAAAAAAAAAAAAGTTAAGATAAAAGTTTCCATAAACTCAACCATTCAGTAATTCTTGATTATTTTATTAGAAGAGCACATATAGATTATCCCATGCTACTTATTGATTATATCTTAATCAATAATTCCACAAAATTCCACAATTGAATCAAGAGAAGTTGTGCTCTAGGCAGTTAAAATTATATTTACTGAATTATAAAACTGAACTATGAATCACTGCCTGAACACCTTTATTGCAACAAATGTTAGCATTGAGTTATTGAGTATTTCAGTCATTCCAAGATTCTCATAGTTGATGTAATAATCTGCACAGCAGATCAAGAAAACATCAGATAAGTTATTTTTAATAAATGTTTATGTCAAATAAGAGGAAATGTTTAAACCAAGTAACATATCGATGTGAAATAGTTTTTCTTTAATAAATGTAAAATGTTGTTTCTCATCACTTTAAAAATAAAAATTTAAAGGAAATAGTGTACGTAGGTAGAAATTGAAAAGGGTACTGACCAACAGCAAGAAAATGGACAAGTAGACCAATGGTTACTCCCAAGATAGCCGCCACTCCAAGAAAAATAAGAACCGTCGTCCATACTGGCCAAGATCTTCTAGGGGAAGAAAAGTGTGGTCTGTAAACCAGGGAGAAAGGTTCAGATCAGAAAGACCTTATCAGTTTGCTTGACTCTCCTTCAACTCATAAAGTATGATTCATCATTTGTCATTAGACTCAGATTTTTAAAAAAATCATAGGTAGAAACTGGTGAATAAGGATCAGAGAAGTGCGTCATTAGGTACATTCAATGGGGATCAATGGCTTACTACTTCAAGTTTCTCCTAGAACTGTGAAAACACAAAGAGCCATGAAAAGGATGCCATTTCAAGATCTGTGAAGCTTTATGAACACTACTGAAATTTGCCAGCTCATAATTCACTCTGTATGATAACGTACTTTATTCTAACACTCTCTAAAGACATCCAATTTTTAACCATTTCTAAGCAACAATTCTCATATTAGAAAACATGATTTCAGTTATGTTATGAAAAGCTACGACAGTGCTCTAGTGGGTCATTATAAGAAAAGCATGAGATATATTTTGTATAATTTTTAAGCATGAAATTATTTTATAATTTCTGGCTATTTTTTGGTAACATACTTAAAATTTCACAGAGACTTTTGCAGATTCCTTAGACCTTAGATATAAAACCATATTCCTTGAGAGTACCCAGAAATAAAAAATATATATTATGGGAATATATAAATATATATAAATATAATGTGTAAGTACATATAATGTATAAATATAATATATAATACATAATGAATAAATATCAAAATATAGAAGCATGTTGGATTATATACACATATATGTATGTACACATATATCTATAATGTGTATATAAAGGAAGCACCCAATTAACTGTATATGTACATACATACATATTTTTATGTATTATATATACACATGTATTTTATATAAATATATATGCATATATAAAAACTTTGCTTGGTTCTGAAAACTTAATCTCCCAAATAAAATCTAATTTAGGACTGGAGAGCTCAAAAGTATCAGTACAAACTTTGCCAATAGGAGGTCCAAGTTTGACCCAAGTACCACATGGTTCCCTGAGCACTTCCAGAAGCAACCTCTGAGTACAGAGTCTGCCATAATGCATAAGCACTATCACATCTGGTCCAAGAAACAAAAAGGAAAATAAAATCAATGTCATTTACCTGTACATAATATTCTGATAGCTGTGGCACTGTCAGGAAACAGCGGTGGTGGTGGTAGTGGTGATGGTGAGAATGAGGTTGGGATAGTAAAAGTAATGATGTTCTGGTGTGGCTTTTTAAGGTGAAGAATAGTTCACCGCTTTATGTGCTCCATTCAGGGTTGGTTGGTTTGTTTTTATTGGCTGAGAGAAATGTAGAGAGCAAACAAAATAAAACTCGTCTGACTAGTGTTAATTACTATCATATTTCTATGGTTTCCAGATAGTAGTCATCCAAGGAATGACAAATTTCCTGACTTGACTATTTAGAAAAAAAATAACAGCTAGTCTTGGATTGGTCGCCTACATGGTACACCCAAAACCAGCTTTGTCATAAATCCTGGGTTAATCCTAAATGCATTTGACTAGTTTCATTCTTCATTAGTTGAAACCAGCTATAATTCGATGGATGCTGACAAATGGTTCTTCATAAAGGATCAATTTTGGTGTAACTAATATCACCATCCTTATTATTTAAATAAAATTCTATTTCACTGTGGCTTATATTTGTATTTCCCTAATGACCTGTAACAATGATCAACATTTTGCACATTTTGGAAAATTCTATGTAAACGAAGTTAGAAAGAGAAAGAAACACCATTTGATTTCACTCATGAGGTGACAAAACAAATAGGTATAATAGATAAAAATAAACTTTTGAACTAGACATTAATGGTTAGCAGAAGGGACATGTAAGGAGGGTGGTTAAGTTGGGACAAAAAGTTAAATGTATGGAGAATAGACTTGAACATCTAATTGTGAAATTCATAATATATTCACATGTTGAATTTTAAAATGCAAGCTTGAAACTTATATATGTTATAATCTAACTTCAACAGAAAAATAGAAATTAATTTTAATTTAAATAAAAAATTGTGAAGAATAAAAACACACTGTTAAATAGCATATAGGTCAAAGAAATATCTCAAAGGAAATTCCAGAAAGATTTTGAATTAAATGAACATGAAAACATGGTATCAACACTTTTGAGTTGCAGCAAAAGCAGTACGTAAAGAAACTTACAACACTGAGTGGTTATATTAGCAAAGTTCTAAAACTAAGTCATTTAACTCTTACCTTAGAAGACTGGGGGTGAGGGAGAGCAAATTATGTCCAAATTAAATGGAAGGAAAGAAATATTTTTAAAATTAAGAAGAAAGACTGGGGACGTAGCTAAGCAATAGAGTATGTTCCTTGCATGTATGAGATGCTGAGTTTGATCACCAGCAAGGGGGGGTGCAGAAAGAAATAAATGAAAGAGGATGTGAGATAGTTCAGTATGAGGGATCATATGCCCAACCCCTTTTTGAGTCCTGAACCATATGGTCCCACAAGAATTGCAGAGTGTAAGGCTGGAGCGAGAGCATAGCGGGTAGGGCGTTTGCCTTGCAGGTGGCAGACCTGGGTTCAATTCCCAACATCCCATATGGTTCCCCTAAGCACCACCAGGAGTAATTCCTGAGTGTAGAGCCAGGAGTAATCCCTGTACATCACCGGTGTGACCCAAAAAGCAAAAAAAAAGTTGCAGAGTGTAGTCATGAAGGCCCCTTTTATTGCCGATGTTGCTGTGGTGGTCCCCAGTACCAAACTGCTGGGGCAGCACTGCTTCCTTGGGCTAACATTCAACTGCCCACCTAAGTGGGCTGAGAGTTATTGAGAGTTAAAGTCCTCTCTCCCTCCCTTCACTGAGCACAGTTTAAGAGGTGTCTCTTCAATAAATGTTTAAAAAGAAAAGAATTAGAGAATACTAAAAACTAAAAACAAGAAATAGAGAAATCAATGAAGCTCAAGATCAATAAAATTAATAAGTTAGATTAAACATGAGAAAAAAGAAAGTATATGATATCATAAACAATGCTAATAGCAGATCTAAAAGATGAAATATTACTAAGAGTTTCATGGATTTTAAGTGGATAATTAAAAAATATCATATACAACTTTATGTTTATAAATTTCTTAAGATGAAATGGACCAATTTCAATCATAATTGAACATACACAGAATATTCATTTGTTCTCAGGACACTCCCATAGGTTGCATATTTCATTTTGAATCCAGAAATGAAGTTTCAGTGTCAATGTGAACAGAATAAATCAAATTCTCTGTAATAACTTGTTGTACACAGCATGACAGAACTTCCTTTTCAAGGGTTTTTATTTTTCTAACATCTGTGTCATAGAATTTGCAACTAGATCCATTTCTCTTGAAAATTCTTTTAAACCCACTTTCAGGTCTTCTTTGGGATAATCTTCAGTAACTATTCTATATTAATTTTATTATTTTTTATGAAAAAACAGCATAAGACTCAGAATAGCTAATTATTAATGATTTTATATTTGTGTTATGTCTGTGCTCAAGCAAATTTAAGATACAGGAGCACAAGTTTTATTTCTTATACTAATTTTTATTCATTACAGTTATCAGTGAACTCATAGGTTAATTGTCTAATTCTTAACAATATGAATGAAAGCTGGCAACTCTCTTCCTTTTATTCTATTGCTTGCTTATTTCCATGTAGCATTTGGATCATTTTAGTATTATGTTATTTTGCATTTGTGATAATATTGATAATACAATAATAATACAACTTTAGCTACATTATGGATTGAATTGACTGGCAAGCTAACAAAAAACCTTTCTTAATTATGCTGTTTCTTGATAAGCTCATGTCTAACAGGCCCTAGTTCTCAAATAGCAAAAGTTACTCTTTATCAGTAAAGTCCATCAGAATCTAACTTTAGGGAATTACTTCATAATTATCAAACTCATCAAACATTTTTTCTGACCTAGATATCATGTAGATAACTTAGAATAGAAAAAATAATTTTCTCTAAGAAGAGAATACACAAGGATCTCAGCCCATAACTGAGACAGCCTTCATATTCTCATGGGTTCTACATAACCTAGTCATTAGTGATACATATATATTTTATACACATGTACAGTAAGTAATACATATGTATAAAATACAAAAATTCTGACATTTGAATGTTAAATAACTATAAACTATGCATGCCAAAACATTATGGATTGGGGCCAAAGAGATAATACATGGATGAAGGCGCATGTCTTGCACTCTGAGAAACTCCAGGAATTATCCTGAGCACAGAACCAGGAGTAAGCACTGAGCACAACTGGGCATGGCCTCCAAACCAAATCAAAGAAACAAAAAAATCACTGCTTATTCTGCAGCTGTGCTTTCTTTGTTAAAAATACAATTTCATTGTAAAATGTTCCAACTGGGAAAAACTTAGAGAATATTGAAATGGCTGTGAATTCTCATAAAGTAAACAAAAACTCAATATTAAGAAAATTATAAGAGATCAAACTGCTATTCAATGAGTTTGTCTTGTATAAGATTAAATACATTATCAAATACAAATCCCCTGCTACAAATGCTACTGCTATAAGTGAAACTGCTTTAGTGTTAGAACTAATATATAATTAAATTTTAGTGAATCAGGGGCCAGGTCCACTGCTACCTATGGTTAAGCTTCCACCAGAGCTACATTCAACTCATATCAAACTTGAACTAAGAGTGTCACATCCGCTAAGCTTGAACTCTACCCCCGCACCATATTTTAGTCCCAATATAGTTTAAATTTCAGTTGGGAAAAACCGATGTTGAAAATCATTTGTCACTGAGTCTGAAATAACTTTTTTTAATTTTATTGAATCACCTTGAAATAGTTACAAGTTTTCATGTTTGGGTTACTATCACACAATGATCAAAGACTCATTCCTCCACCAGTGCACATTTCCCACCACCAATATCCCCGGTATACACCCCGTTTCCCAACCTCCCCCTGCATCCATGGCAGACATGATTCCCCATAATCTCTCTCTACTTTGGGGCATTATGGTTTGAAATAACTTTTATATTAA